GTGTTGTTCATTGGTATGGTTCATGGTTACTGTTCACCAAGTAAAATTGTCGTTATGAATATCATGTTTGAATTAGGAACCTTTGGGTCTAGGTCCATGTTTTAGTCATATCAGGTCTGATTCATGGTCAACCTGACCTGACCGGAATAAATTATATATAAAAATATATATAATGTATACTATACTGTATATAAATTAATTTTATTTTTTGTTTCTAGACTCAGATCAAGTCTAAATGACTTGGACCCAAACCAAGTCCTAGTCCAAGTCAAGTCCTGGTCCAGGTCCATGCAATACTCAGTCGGGTTGCCACCCCTAGTCTCCCATTACTGTCATTGTTCCCAGCAGTGCTCTTTTTCTCCTCCATTCATAATGGTCTCTCTCTCTCATTGATTGTTACATCATTTACCTCGTCCTCTCGCATGTAACCCTCAAGCCTGTTTGCAGTTGGTACCTTAAATTACTGGCCCCTTTACAGCTTAGCTTCACATTCATGCATGAGTCCATTCAATCCCATAGATTGCCCCACCATAAACCAGACATTGTAATGGTTGTTAACAAGAGAAGGTAAGAGGCAGAAGGACTCTTTTTTGCACAGTGGGAGGAAGACTCTCTCCCTCTCATGACAGAAAAAAGTTCTGAGTTCTTGTTTAAAGTTGATCTCCATAAAAAATTCACCTTTGAGATGGATTATGTATTAAAATTTTACATATAATCTCGACCATTGCGATCACAAACTTGAAAAAGCCCAAAACTAGTCCATAGACAAAGTTCAAAACTATTTATTTTTACGATTAAAAATTTATAGTTTTTTAGATTAATTTTATCATAATGGTTGAGATTATTGATGTTGAATGTTATTCTAAATACATCTTAAATAGCACTTTAGGAGGAGACCACATTTGAATAGGGTAGCACCAAAACCATGTCCATTGCAAAGCCTTTGGGCAAAACAAGTACTTATCCAAAAGTCAGGGATCCACTTCACAATTATGAGCGTTCAAAAAAATTTCAATTTTGAGTTTTCAAACATTTAGAAATAACAACCCAAAGATGATCGACTTTTTTTGCCTAAGATGTTAACTTGGTTCATGGAGCCTAGGACGTTATGTTGAAATGTTAACTTGGTTCATGGAGCCTAGGACGTTATGTTGAAGCATCTGCCCCGCGCTAACCACCCATGCACCGCCCCCATTTCCCCAAAGATAGATAGTCGTTTTTCAATCTTAGGCCATTATTATTTGAGGCAAATAAAAAAGTGTATTTGGCTTTTGAGATGGTTGCTAGATTGAAGAGGTTACAAATTCAAAATTTGGGGTGGATCATACTGTTTTACATTTTCACTAGAGGGAGTGAATGGTGATTATGCTCCCCACTGGTGTATACCATGTAAGGTACCACAAAAGAAAATAAGCTTTTGATATGATATAGGTCCTCTCTCTTTGAAGGCACCAGAGCATATCATATGTTCATGATGAAAGAACAGAAGGGCTATAAATACTGTAGGATATATATATATATAGAGAGAGAGAGAGTGAGAGGTGGGTTAGAGAGAGAGAAAGGGCAAAGGGAAAAAGACTTGGTTAGGGCTGCTTCCCCTGAAAATAGAATCAAAAGTAAAGGGCCCCATTGTCAGTCTCTCTAGGGTTTATTCTCTAATAGTTATGACCACTAGATGTGGCATGCAAACTGGTAGTTTCTTTTAAGTGTCAGCCTTAAATACATCTCCTCTTGCCTCTTGCCAACCCTCCCTTAGAATAGGACTCTTTATCCTTACTTTTTCTCAAAATTTACTCAAAAAAAACAAAATACCCCAAACGATAGATGGGGTTTGGGTGCGATGAGTTCTAAATCACACATTTAGATGCGGTCTCCATAAAAGTTCTAAACACAAGAATTCGGAAAAAATAAATTTAAAAAATAGTGCATGTTTAGTTTCACTTTTTTCACCGATCATGGCATTCCATATGTTTCGCACTTGAATATGATTACATTTAAATTTTGGAATAAATACATATGCCTCTTTTCCTTAATTATAACTCCAAATAAACACCAGGTCCATTAAAATCAGTGCCTATCTACGTTAAAAGAAAATAAAGAAAATGACGTTTAACCTTTTCCTTACTTTTTCTATTGTCTATTTTACAATAGATATCCTTGTTTTTTTCTTTTTTTCTATTGACCACTTCATCCAAAACCATAGAAAAGCTACCTCTCTCTCACTCTTCACCACCTATGACCCCTTCCGTTTTCTCTCTCCCTCTCAACCTCTATCTCTCTCATGAGCCTCATGAGTAATTGAACCTCACGAGTAATTTAAACATGGCATTCCATATTCCATTTAGATGATGGGATCGTTAAAAAAATGAATTTTCAAAATTAATTTGGATAATATCATTAAAAAAAAAAAAGGCAAATATCACAATTAAGACAATGAAAGAGGTAGGGAGGTGGTTAAAGATTGCTTATTTTAGCCTAAAGGGAGTCCATGGGCTTCTTATAAACTCAAGGGGTTCATTAAAATTACAACTATAGAGAAGATGTAACATTTACTTTTTTTTCTTGAATTAAATGCTACACTCACCCGTATTTTTGCTACTCTCACCCATAAACCATTGGTCGAAGAGAACAACACTCTTTTTTAATATTTTCATCCTTGTGTTTTAGTGAAATCTAGGAAACAGATGTATACCATGAATCCATGAGAAGGTCATGGACCTCCTCCTTTTAAAAAAAATAAAAAATTTTAACCTCCACCTTATATTTTCATTATCCAAATTACAGATAGACCCGATCACCCAAAACCTAGAAAAGCTACCGCTCTTTCTTTATAACCCGGCATCCCTTTCACCCTCTCTTTCAACCTCCATTGAAACCCTATCTCTCTCTCTCACCTCACAAGTAGTTTAAATGTCGCATCCTAATTTTTATTTGGATGATGGGATCATTAACGAAAAAAAATAAACATTGTAATTTAGACAATAAAAAAAGATTATTTTATTTTAAATTGGTGGGTCTAGGGTCTTTTATAAACCTACAAAATTATTTGGCCTATTTTTCCCCCTTTTCTACAACCCAAATGATAAAAAAGGGCAAAAGCTCGATTTCCTTTACAAGAGAAAGAAATTCCCCTAATAATACAAAGAACCTTGCACTATACAGTGATTTCCTTAACGGTTTTTTATCAACAAAGGATGGTTGAGAATCGAGTAGCTTCACGCTTCCCGTCAACCCTCCCTTGGCAACCAGAGACGGTCGATGAGACCTGCAGCGTGCTGTTTGCATAAAAATGCACCATACAACATTTTTCGTCGATCATCGCATCCATGTACCCTTGTGGGGTAATTTATACTTAATCTTTTTTATTTATCATTTAGTGTTAACTTAGGACCTTATGAAAACAAAACATTAGACGTCACATTGTGGGGCCCACAACTTCTATTACTTTTACCCAAAGATAGGGTGGCAACATGTTAGGTCCAAGTTGACTGTGATCGGGACCTCACCTGACTAAGTTCACATGGACTCACATATAGGTTGGGTCCAAGTTATTTAGACCTAGGCCCAATAAAGACCTAGGTTAGATTGACCTGGACCCGAATCTAGAAATGTAAAAAAAATAAAAATTTCTTTTAAATATAATATAGTATACATGTTGTATATATTTTACATATTTATATTGGGTCGGGTCAGGTCAACCCGACTGGACATAACCTTACTTGATAAGGGTTCAAATTGGACCAGAAGCAGGGTTAGGACACAACAATCGTTGGGTCCAACACATGGACTCGGACATGGACCCGATTTGAGTCATCCCACCGACCAGGTGGGAAGACTTGACCCAATCCACCCCTACTTTAAGCCCCTTTTCAAACAATATACACGAGCTTCTTTGCAAAAAAAGAGCTAGGATGACCTTTGTAATCTCAAATATTGGGAGCCACTTTAAAAACTTTAAGCGAAGAATTGAGTTTTTAAACAAATAAATTTTGATTGAACGATCGCTCCTCAATTCTAAGACATTTTCAAGAATGAGAAAATAGTCAAAATGCCCTAATTCCTTGACAATCTCAAAACATGACTCGTGGTTGTGCATTGACCAATCTAATTAAAAAAAAAAATAGATTTAATAAAAAATCAATCAAAACCAATGTTTGACCAGTTTTGATTGGCTAGTTTTGATCGGTTCGACCGGCCAAACAAATTAAACAAATTTTTTTCTAATATATTACGTATTTTCAAACTATTATTCATATTTTAAAAAATTTTAAAATCTAGTCAAACCGATTCGATCGACAGTCAAATTGATTTTGACTGGACTAGACCACTCGCCACTTTGATGACCTGTCCAAGCCTAATAATGTATCTCATAAGGCTGTAGCTATATACAAATAAGGCTCGAATCCAGCTAAAAAAATTCAATTTCAATGAAAGGAACTATGCAAATCCGTCATTGGCAGAAAAAATAAAAATATCATTTAATAAAAAATTTCATATTCATGATCATCCTAATCCTAAATTTTTTAATCCAATGATCAAGATGAACTTTAGAGGTAGGGCGGTAGTTAAACAGGGGAGTGGTCGACTCATCCACTACTTCTCCTTACGATGACTATAGGTCTTAGCATGTTTGGTTTGCCTGGAGAAAATTTTTTGTCATGCAGACAAGTGAAAGATTATTTTCATATCAATCGATTTTAATGCATATTTTCATACCAATTGATAACTAATCGATAAAAAATATTTTCACACTTTGACCTATCAAAGAATTTTTCCATTTTCCATGTGACAATATTTTTTAGAGAACGTTTTCACGCGAACCAAAACGGCCAGTTCGTCTCACCAAAAGACGTGCCGTCCAAAATCCACAAACTCGGCCGGCATTTAAACTTTTAAAGCATTTATGAAAGACACTGGTTAAAAAAGTAATTTATAAAAAGTAGGAGGCTACTTTAGTCATTTCTCCTCTGAACCAAGCTGGCCTGCATCTGGTTTTTGGCCTTTAAGATATCTTTCTTTGTACAAATCATATTGACATTTTTATGCCAGACGCTCTCAAAGGTTGCAGATCCCACTATAATTGGTACTGGTAAAAACATTCGCTGCAGCTTTTGTTTGATGAGATTCCCTTTTCGTTTTCTCACATTTATTATTTGTATATGGTACCTTATATCACAATCTAAGCCAATCTCTCTCTCTCTCTCTCTCATATGCTATTCTCAATTGATTTGGATTATGGGGTATTGGAAATTTTGGATGGGGGGAGGAGATGTATTAGCTGCTTGCATGTTTGTATGAATGATGAGAAAATTAGTTGATTTTTACGTTGAAATATTCATTGATTTTATTGGATTGTTTGAATTTTCTTGAAGAAACATTTGATGGGTCTTTTTTCTTATCAAAGGAATGTTCATTGGTTTTCTAGGCGTGCATGGGTTCAGTTTTGGAAAATCAGGAAAAAAAAAAGAGGGAGGAAACTCATGGTGTATTTTGGGATTATTTTGGAGAAAATTTTGTTTTTTCTTAAAGATAATTTTGTGGGTTTATCTTGTTTTGTTGAATCTAGAACTAATAATTCATTGGTTGCTTCATTCTGCTAATGCTTGTTAAGTGGGTTATTCGGATTCTTTTTTCAGGAGAAACTTATGCTTTTTTTTTTCTTTTTCTCTTTCAGGATTTGCATTTCGTGCAAGTCTTATGAGAAATAGAAGCCCATAAAAGAGAGAGTTCAGTCTTCGGGTTAAGAAGAAAGGAACATGTGAATATAAGATGCATAGACTGATAACTGACTGCTTTAGATTTTCCAGCTTTCGCATGAGAACGATAATCTCGAAATTTATACTGTTAATATCCATTGCTCTTCTTTGTGGAGTATTTTACCATTCACCTTTTCTGGAACTAAAAGCTATCAGTAATAAGTACTTTTACTGGGTTCCCAGTTCTTCTCTCAATGATTTCTCTCTCATATTGAGGAGTGATAAGTTCTTGGAGGTCCCTCAGATAGTTTGGGGTTTAAACAATCAGAAGATTGCTTTAGCAAGGGCATGCCTAACAGCTAGGATGCTAAATCGAACCCTTCTAATGCCAAGCCTCAGTAATTCTTTATTTTATAAGGAAACAAATCTTTTGGAGCCTGTTTCTTTTGACAAGGTGTTTTCTTTCGACAAATTTAATTCACAGTGTAATGGGTTTGTTAGGATAGGGAGATTCTCAGATCTTTCTAACCAATCTCAGCCATTTGTGCTTATAAAAGGTAGCGGAAGGAAGTGGACTGCAGAGAGAGATTTGGATCAGTTACAGAGGTGTAGAGAGAGTTCGATTGATGATTATGAAGTCATTAAGGTAGTCGGAAAGAACCCCTTCCTTTGGCATGATCACTGGCCTGTGAAGGATTATGCCAAGGTTTTTGAATGCTTGGTTTTAGTTGATGAGATATTAGATGAAGTTAAAAGGGTTGTAACCAAGATCAGAGCAGTGGGTTCTAATGGGAAATTGAAAAGCCAGACCCCCCAAAAAAATTATCATTTAAGAAATGCTTCTTTTGAAATGACACCTTATGTTGCCGTTCATATGAGGGTGGAGAAGGACTGGATGATCCATTGTAAGAAGATGGAAGCAAGGTCGAATATGTCCCATATTTGCAGTAGTAAAGAGGAGATTAGAGAAAGGGTGGCCAATATTCCTGGTCTTAGAACTCCAGTGGTGGTTTATGTGGCAGTGGCTGATGACCTATTGGAAGACTCTTCTATATTGAGTGGTTGGAAAGAGGGTCTCTTTCCCATTGACAAGAAGAGGCTTGGGGTATGGGAAATTTACAAGAAGTACCCATATCTTATACAATCTGCAATTGACTATGAAGTATGTTTGGGGGCTGACATTTTTGTGGGTAATAGTTTTTCTACATTTTCTGGTCTCATAGTGCTTGAGAGAACCCAAAAATTGATCAAATCTGGTATTTCAAGAAGTTGTGACATGGACACGAGGTGGGTCTCTTATGCATATAATATCCAGGGTTCATTTGGAGAACCCAAGAGATGGATGACAAATATGTCTGATTTGAGCCTTAATTCTATCAGCTATGGATCCAATAGCATCTCCTGTTGAGAGAGGTTTCAATGTAGAGATCTCCAAGATGAATTTTGGTGTACACTCTGTATTCTTTCAATCATTACTGTATTCTTTCAACCCTTTGGTTTTTGGGTTTGGTGTCCCTTTCACCATACCACAAGATAAAAGAAAATGCTTATAGCATCAAGTATGTTTGGACTTCAGAGTCACATAGAAATTCTAACATTCCTTTCATAGTTGATGGCAGAGTTTTCCAATTGAGGGGATTCACTGGTCGTGCTTGACACTCTTTATTCTTTCAATCATTACTGTATTACGTTTGATTTTTGGGTTCGGTGTCCCTTTCACCATACCACAAGATAAGAAAATGCTCAGAGCATCAAGTATGTTTGGACTTCGGAGTCACATATAGATTTTAACATTCATTTCATAGCTGATGGCAGAGTTTTCCAAGAGGGGATTCACTGGTCAGGCGTGAGAATTTGTTTTACATCACTGCAATAAGAAAATGAGTTTGGTGGTTTTTGTTGCTGTCTTGCTGAAATGAAGAGGCCTTCTTAGCACATTGAGTCAACTTCTGAAGTACTCTTTGTAATTGAATTCGGTGACATGACAATGCCCATATTATTCTTTTTTGCATATACCCCAGTCCTCACCTTTTCTTTAATATGTAATGGCATGCCTCTTGTATCATGGTTTTGCACAATGGGCATATATCTTGTAAAAAGTTTCAACATCAATGTCCATGGTCTTTTTCTGATGTCCATTTGTCTTTTATAACAAAGCAGCCAATTTATTCAGTTTGAAGTAATTTCTTCTTGAAAAATTGTGGGTTCTGCTTACTATTTTCCTTGCAGGACATGTTTAAAGTCTTTAACAGAAGTAAATAAACTAGGTTTATTTTACTTAAATTTTCCATGTTCAAGAAGATTATGCCTCATTCATCTTTATAACATCTGTAAAACTTGATTTTTTCTGCAATTATAAGAATTTCTTTTCTAGTCCTTCATGCAAGTATTGTTGACTGTAACTCTGTCCTAATCATATCCTATTCTTGTGCTCTAGCAATTTAATGGATTTGTTTGCTGTTGTACTTGACGGCTTGATGTGTTGAACACCTCAACTACAATAATCACAATTTGAAAGTAAATTCGCAATTGGGGGAGATATATTTAAGGTGTGATATATCTAAAGTTTATTTCTACCCATCAGGGAGAGAGACTGAAGTCTCTTAACTAGATCTTTGCAGTTTGTGCTCTTCCTATGATCCTGCATCATGGGGGTTCGGGTAAATACATCTCCAAGTAAGCTGCATGTTACATATAAAAAAGTCTACTGCAGGTTACACGTCTGATTTATTCAGGTGCATACAAGTTTGTCCCTTTTGCTTACACATAGAGTTTAATGCAAATTAGTTACTCTGAAGTTTTCAGAGGCCTCTCTCTTCCTCTCGCCCTAACCGTCTCTCATTGTACTGGTAAATAACTCAACAACATCATAAACACAAAAATGCAGAACTTACTTCAAATAATATGCTGCTGCGTGGTCTTTTCTCTCCATGATTCAGGTGCTGAAGCAGATGCCCATAGAATAGGGATAGTTTAAGGGTAGGAAATACTTTTTGGAGGTGGGTATCATCTAGTTATCTCAACCGTAGCCCACTTGACCTCTGTCCCTGGGCCTTCTATGGAACACCTGGACACTGTCCTTTGTGTAGATTTCACTTCATTTTTCTAGGTGATTTTTCTGGACAATCTAGGAGCAACATTGTAATCAAAGTGAAGGGACATAACTACAGTTTTTCTAAACTCAAAGTTGTTCAAAACTTTGGAAAGGTTGTTGCTTGAAACTGCGTCCCTTCTTTTTGTTCACTTTCATAATTGCGTATGCATTGCTCATGTACATAATATAAACACTTTTAAGGTGAGTGCTAATCATGTTTTGTTCTCTGTCTAATGATTATACTACTTGTGTACTTCAAAACAAGTGCTCTATGATAATACTGCACTGTACTTCAAAATAGGTGATTTATATATTTGGAATATACATCATCATCATCAAGAGCCTTTGGCTACACGAATTTTGATTGACTATTGTGCTCTATTAAAGGTCATACCTTCAGTGAGGCCATACGTCCTCATATATTTTCTCACTACTTCCAACCATATTCTTTTGGGCCTACCTCTTGCAATTGTACTATACATTCAAAATTTTTCATAATTTCTTGTCACAGTGAAAGCTTGGGAGCATGGAATATCAAACTTTCGACTGACATGAGAACCTCTTAGATCTCAGATAACAACATGCAAGTTCGTTTCATCAATTTTCTGCCTTAGTTGCTTAATGTAGCCTATATAGATTTCTACTGTTAGTTTGTTACCTCCAATACAATGAGCAGGTTGTGCCTCTTTTTAGATTTCTACTGTTAGTTAATAGATGGAATAGCAACTCGGCTATTGCTCTTTCTATTCCATATCCATCCAAAGAGGAAATTGCAGATTGGTTTCCATATCCATCCAAAGAGGAAATTGCAGATTGGTTTCCATATCCATCCAAAGAGGAAATTGCAGATTGGTTTGTAAAATAGATGGAATCACAATTCAGCAGTGGCATTTTCCAATATTTTATTTTTCTTGTTCCTTTTTATTCTCACTTCACTTTTTTCTATAAAATGTGTTTATAATGAAGTTTTATATGGATTGATTTCAATTTAGATTGAAATCAAATTTATACGGATTGATTTCAATTTAGATTGTCATCACGACTACTTGTGACCCAATCGTTGGGTTTCTATTCAAAGGTTTTTATTTTTTACATTAATTTCATTCAATGATAACTAGTTTAGGCACTGACCTAAAATATTTCGGGCCTTTTTCGGGTTGGGCTTGGCAGCAGCCCTAATTGGGTTTGGTGATTTCCAGATGGCTGGATCACTACTGATTTAGATTTAGATAAATTATTGCGAACAATGATAAAGAAGGCAATGAGAGAACCTTGGATTCATTCTTGTCAAATTCCTGCGAATTTTTTTTTTTAAAAACATGGCATGAGACAGGTTTATCAAATGCTTTGGAAATCTAAGATTTGCTTGTTTTATCTTCTTGGCAATCCCTCTTTTGGTGCTCCTCCATAATCTGTGGTAGCGAGGCTTCCATGATTTTCGCAGAGTTTCTCTTATAAACAGTATAACAACATTTATATATATTGGTGGCTGTCATTTTATATTGTCTCAATCATATAAAAATAGATAAATGACGCTGGTTCTTACGGTTTCGAATCCCATTTCACATTCAGGTTCTTCTCGAGTTAATAATAGCTTCTTTGATCTGCACTCATGTACTTAACAAATGGAAGTGCCTGTGCCCCAACACTGAGGTTGCACATACATGTAGACTTTTAGTCGAGCTCCGGGATTGAACTCTTGAATAAAATTCACAGGCATGTACACAATTCACATGCACGTGAAGCGATTATATGTATGAATTTTGAGAGCCAAGCGCTTGAGCCATTGTCCTGTATTTATGTTTATTTTAAGTGAATTATGCTACAAACATGACCAAAATTTATAAGGTATGCTTGCTTGTCAAATATTTCCAGCAGGTGAATTTTGTAATAAAGATCAGTGTTCTTAGGCCTTGAAGGACAGACAGATGGAAATCTTCAATTACATCTCAAACCCATATAGTGCGTGTGTGATTTGAGAGAGAGAGAGAGATGGAAATCTTCAATTACATCTCAAACCCATACAGTGCGTGTGTGATTTGAGAGAGAGTTATGCTGGCAATGGTGACCCAAATGAAAAAGCAAGTTTGAAATCCCATTCATTTACAGTAATAATTTCAATTAGCAAAAGAGATGAGAGAGAGAATTTGTCATCCATGGTTGCAATGGTGACCCAAATGAACAAGCAAGTTTGAAATCCCATTCATTTACAGTAATAATCTCAATTAGCAAAAGAGATGGGAGAGAGAATTTGTCATACATGGTACCGTCAAAAAGGGTTCTACGGCCAGGCACAGCCCATATTTAGACAATTACAAACCTCAGAAAAACATGTTATTTTTCTTCACCTACTTAAATTATCCATGATAACCATATCCCCATGGCACTGAATTTAAGACAAATTCGAACCCTATGGAGGGTGTGATAGCTGCCCTCCAACAAATGGAGAGCTTATGGATGGGGAAGATTGAAAGGTGGTTGTTCCTTAAGATGCATAATCGTCACTATAATGGAAAGTATCAAAATGTGAGATATTAATTAAGATGCATAATCATCATACGAGTCGCTAATAACTGACACGAACCTTTCGAGCCATGGTAACTGGTGAAGGTCCTTGATTGTGTCTAAGAAAGAGTCGGACGGTGGGGATGGGGGTTGGCAGTGAACATCGAGAGAGAATCCCTCAGTAAGGAAGCGTTGGAGAAGAGAGCATTGAGATCTCTCGTGGTCGAAATAGGCATCGAGAGACCATGGGTCCATGGTCTCCTCTTGGTTGGGAACGATAATATTGTCCTCATCCCAGAATGCGCACTGACAAGTTTGCTGCCGGTGTCTGTACTCAGCACCGCATGCATAGCAAAACTCATGCCCACACCTGGAATGGCAATAAACCCAAAAAGATTATTAAAGGAAAAGAGTATCATTGAACATAGAAAGATGTGGTGCATGAAGAGAAGTGGTGCATTGAACATAGAAAAGAGTATCATTGAACATAGAAAGATGTGGTGCATTGAACATAGAAAGATGTGGTGTATTGAACATAGAAAGATTTGGTGCATTGAACATAGAAAAGAGTATCATTGAACCTAGAAAGATGTGGTGCATTGAATATAGAAAGATGTGTACGGTGGGCGTCCAATCCAAACTCCAGACTTAGGTAGGGAGTCTAGGAACTCCAATCAGTTAGATCACAGCAGTTCAACATCAACAAAAAAAGATAAATTGTGTAAATCATTCAGAGTAGCTTGCATTTTGTTCAAATCAATCCATTCGGTTCAGCCTGCATCGCATTTTGTTCTAATCAATCCATTCGCAATACTTCTAAAAAACACAAAATTCAGTTTGCCATGGCATATCCACTAAGGCAACTTAAAGCCAAGAAATGTTCAAGAGCATTAACCATTCTTTCTAGTAAGAGTTAAATTCCATATCTTCTTGCTTTTACTTTAATCAAAATGGAATTCCCAAATCCTTAAAATATAACAGAACTATTTTGCCATGGCTTCCAACAATCAACATTGGGGCTTTTTAATATAACTAGTCTGGGAAGGGGCCTCACCAAATGTATTAGAGGAACTGAGTTGACTTTGCCCACCCAAACCTTAAAGAAAATACAGGGATTGTGGGAGTGTTAAAAGTTCAAACTTTCAACAGGGGAACATACTCAAGAGTAATGAAATAGGAAGGTGCCAAAGCCAAGTAGTCTTTCAAGAAGTTGGGATTTTTCCTTGCCCATGTTATCATTCTGATTCCATAGACATCAAGGAGTTTGGATTGATAAAGGTGGTAGCGAGACCATACAAAGGATTTTGCCAAGTTTTTTTTGCCAGTGACAAAGTTATTGAAGGAGCTTAAATGAAGAAATGGAATGGGTGTATCCAACGATGTCGTGGAGATATCTCAATATGAATAGCCACTTCCAAGCCCTAATCCATCTATCACCTGCCTCGATCTTAAAAAACTTTCTTGACCACAGAAAACAATGAAAACCATCACCTCCTTAACCCTTCTTGCTAGCGCACTGGCCCCTGATTTGGTGAAGGTGCTCCCCAAATGTGATCAGATGGATCCCCTAACTCGGTCAGGCAACTCCACCTACGACTACTGTTAATATTGCAGATACTCAATTTCAGTCATTTTACAAGAATTTCATGGAGGTTTTCAAAAGTATAGATTTACATGGGAAATCTCATGGAATGTGGAAAATAAAAAATTTGAAATTTTGGAAATTAAGAAACAAATCAAAACCATAACCCTGGGCAAGCACCACTGCTTGTTTATTCTCGATCGTGGATTTCTGTCATCTTCTAACAAAGTGGCTGTTGGTTTTACAAAAGTCAGTTAATCAAGAGCGTGTATAGTGTGCTCCCGTGGGAGCATACTGTAGTACATCTAATCCCTCGTGCAAAAGACCTACTACGAGGATTTTCTCCAACTGAAAGTTTGAATCCAGTTTAGAATCACGAGATTAGTAGGAAAATTAGATTTTGAGTTCCTAAAGACTTAGATCTGACTGTCAGAAAATTGGATAGTGTTTGTTCAATCTGGGACATTATTTTTTTATGCACATGTACAGGGCATATGACATTTTCGTTTTTTCCAAGGTTAGTCCCAAGGTCAGGGAGGTGACATCCTCAAAATTTAAGGTCCAAATAACATTGAAGGGTTTTACCTGAGGTCTAGGATATGCTCCTGCAGGAGTATACAATCTTTTCACTTAACCCAAATGTTGCTTCTCAATTGGGGGGGGGGGACAATGGGTCAAGACACGACCCAGGACCCAACGTCCAGACCGCCCCAAGTCTGGGTATGGGTCCAAAAATTGGACCCGGTGGGTCAGGTCCGGGTCCATGTGGACCCAACCCGAATAGTGTTATTATTTAAATAATATTTAAATAAATATAACTATATATTTTTAGTTATAATATTTAAATACATGTATATATTTAACATAATATTTAAATATATTTAATTTTTTACAATTTTTGGGTTGGGTCTGGTCGGGTCTAGGTCGGGGTCCGATAACTTCGGGTCTGGGTCCCATACATTTTTTTCGGTTCCGGCCAGAACCGACCAATTGCCACCCCTATTCTCAATGAGACAGGTATCATGGTCAAGCCATGTGGCATAGATACATTACATGTGCAGCAATGCTAGTATGTCCACTCATTAGACCTGTTGGACTGACCATGTGAGAATAACTCAGAATGTATATTTAACAATTGGGTACCTGGTGATAAAGCTATTCAATGCAGTTTCTGGATGGAATGTGGACTGTTGTGGATCCACCAAAAGTGTAGGGTCAACTTAAAGGAAGAATACAGGAACACTAGTCCAAAACTTTAAAGGAATGTAACACGTTGTTGTCTCATTTACCTGGGACTCTTGAATCTTCCAAGAGAGAGAAAACAAACATAAGAATGAAGTGGAGAAAAGTTTATCTTCCTCAGAAGGTCTTCAAAATGTTCAATAACAGTTTATGAATGCCATATAGCATAGAAACTTCTGAAACATGTACATGTCAGAGAAAAGGGAAAGAGAGCAAAAGAATCAGGTCACTTTAAACATTTATATGATTAGTATAATTCCAATGACACTAAATTTGCTTTGTTGATTCCACATGTTTAGCAAGCCACCACATGCAAAGATGATGTTACAGCTCATTTGGCGTCAATACTTAGATCTCTTTTTTGGGGAGGTCGATCAGTATAGCGTGGGAAAAAGTGGTTATGGCTAATCACAAGTATGAGTGACAATGGACAAGAACTACTATCAAAGAAAGGTATGGAAAGACAGGAGAAGCACAAGAATTAACAATGGCTGCAGAAACAACTTTCTCACATCACAAGTTGAAAAACCATGCTTTATGGGTGTTGTGGTTGGGGAAGCAATGCATTCTCAATCTCAATGCGAAAAATAAAAAATGAGGTCGACGACTTGCTAAGACAGTGAAAAAGGAAGGGAAACAATGCCCAGGATACCTTGGAGAAGTACGAGAATAATGAAGCATAAAGAAGCATAAAGAACTAAAAATAATTAAAGCATAATGACATGTTTCATCAAAATTTCAAGAATTGCTTGTAAAAGAAGGTTTTTAAAAAACAATAATTTTGATATGTTCATTGCAAAACTTTGAAAATCTTGCAAGGTATTTTTTTTTCCTCATGATAGCTTCATACATGGAGATTATGGCATGATCTTAAAGTTCTCTTCCTTTTTCTTAGCATTCAAGTCACTTTCTCAGGTATAATTTCATTTTTTTGCACTGTCTTATTCATTGTAATTTCATAATACTTCAGAAAAAGTCTCCAAAATATACGACTTGTAAAGAATACCAATTCCAAGCATACCATTCACGATATGGTTAACCTAAGGTCCATGCCTTGGTGGAGAGTTCTAACTCTCCTATCCATTGATCAGAGGGTATAGATAAGGACTTGAATGCTTGCTAGGCCACCATTATTAGCATTCCGCCCCTCTGCTCAGAGTTCAAGATGTCAGGTTTCTTTCTTAATAAGATTTTCATCAGAAGCGTATGTTAAGTTAAAAATGAATGGATCCTAACAAGAAATCACAGGCAAGATGGTTTTGAATTTTTCTAGTTATCGGGAAAAGAAAACAACTTACTTGATACTAAGATGACATTGAAAACAAAAATGAAATTGAGAAAGTGAAATAAGATTTTGGCATCAACATTGACCAAGATGCTAAGATTACAGGCAATGAAACGTTATAGTTCAAGCTGTGGAAAAATGTGAAGGAAAATGACCTCATGAAGCTTGTTCAGAGAATAGGTAGAACGGAAAAAAAGAATAGCTTATGCGTTCCTAAAAGGTATTCCCCAAAAGTTACCACTTAACCCAAAGCCTAATTTAATAATGCAATTTGAGCCCTTTTCCTTAGGATATAATTGGTATCTCTTCTAGACGCACTTTCTATTCCAGGTTAAGAATATTCTTTTTACAGAAGGACTTTCTAGCAAAGGTCCACTTGCCTTCTTTGTGGCATGGATTATTTTAGTGTTGGAATATATAGCACGAGTAACTAGACTGCCAAATCATAACATACATTCAACTAATTATCCTAAGGTCCATGCCTTGGTGGAGACGTAGAACTCTCCTATCCTTTGATCAGAGGGTATGGACAAGGCCTTGAATGCTCGGTGAGCCACCGTTATAAGCATTCGACCCCCTCTTCTCAGAGTTCAAGATGTCAGGTTTCATTTTTATAAGATTATCATCGGAAGGGTACATTGAGTTAAAAATGAATGGACACTAATAAGAAATCACAGGCAAGATGGTTTTGAATTTTTCTACTTATTATGAAAAGGAAACAACTTACTTGATGCAAACATGACATTGAAAACAAAAATCAAATTGAGAAAGTGAAGTTAAAATTTTGGTATCAACATTAAACAAGATGCTAGATTACAGGCCATGCAACTTTAGAGTTCAAGCCGAGGAAATACGTGAAGGAAAATGACCCTATGAAGCTTGTTCAGAGAATAGGTTGACTAGAAAAGAAATAACTTATACATTCCCTAAAAGTTACTACTTAACCCAAAGCCTAATTTGATAATTCAATTTGAGCCCTTCTCCTTAGGATATAATTGATGTCTCTTCTAGAAGCAATTCCTATCCCAGCTTAAGAATATTCTTTTTTTTCGCATGTTTTACCGAATGACCTTCCAGCGAAGGTCCACTCGCCTTTTGTGGAATGGATTATATTTAGATTCACTATTTATTGGAATACGTAGTATATAGTGTGCCATAAAAAGGGCGTAAGTAACTAACTACACTGCCAAGTCAGAGCATAACGTACGTTCACATGATTATCAAGAAAGAACGAAGTAAAATTGATCAATGATCACAAAAAACAAGTCATGTTACACATTCACAATTAGTACGTATTACGTAACTATGCAAGATGTACTATCACACCCAACTATTGCAGATCAGAGTTATACTTCAAACCTTACTAAAAAAGTCAGAAACTAAATCATGCTACTTTACATTGCACAGTGCCAGTTCTCTTACTTGTGCCTCTTGATCAACACAAACAACCAGAAAACTAGAATCATTGAACCAACATAACCTAAACAAATCACAGAAACTTGCAATCTCCATGCAATTCATGAGCTTAAGAAAACAAAAAAACCATATCAAGAATAGAAAATAAAGAATGCCCCAACTTTCTTTCGGTAGTTGCTTTCGATCGGTGAAACCCAAAAATTTCCAGACATGGAAAAAATTTACCCAAATTTTAACACAAACAAATTTTCTCAAAGCTGCAATATAGAAAACAAAAACTTCTTGCACGTACCAGCAAGTCATGTGGTAGCAGCCTTGTGTAAGCTCAATCATCCGCCTACACTGACTGCAACGCCTCCATTTCTGGTGCTGGGCGAGCCTATTCAAAGTGAAGTCTCCAACATCTCTCTCATCGAGAGGCATATTTTGGTACTCCTCACAACTCATCAAAGAATGCCAAGGCACCTCACAATCATAACAGAAGAACCTTTGGCACACTGGGCACTCGACACAAGAGCCCATATCCTCTGACTGGCTCGATGAGCTTGCTCTATTTGATAAGCTCTGACGTCGATCAAGAAGCACTGAACAATTGGGGAAAGGACAATAAACTCTTTCTGACTCATAAGCACCGGTCTCTTCAAGGGCTTTGAGAAATGACCCATAACTTGAAATTGGGAGGAAAGACTTGCACTCCTTAGTTGAAAGCATATGCTTGCAAGCTACATGGGGGCACCTTATGGGAACTTTGGGGGACTGTAATTTTCCATTGATGTATTTTATCATACAATCTGAACAAAATTTATGTGAACAATTCATAATTACCATATCATCGGCTTGCTTCTCCTCGCAACATATTGAACAGTCCTCGGATTCGGGCCATTGCCTTAGACCAATGGCTTCTCGAGCGAGCCGAGATGGTTGCTTGAATTCATTAGTGGGGATAAGTTTTAGGTCGAAAGCTTCGAGTTTGCTTGCATGCTCCATTACCCTTTGTCTCAGGGCCATCAAGAGCTGGTCCTCAAGTTCCTTGGATTGGGAAATCTGCTTCATCAAATCGCATATAAAGCTATGAACTGCTTGAAACTAGGTTTTAATAAGAATTATTCCTAGAATGGGTAGTTCAGCGTGGGATTCAAACTTAGAATGTAGTGTTGCAATAAACAACACCTCAACCGATAAAGCCCAGGCCCTACTCCTAAAACTTAAGTAGAATAACATCAAGAATATTATGAACTGGACTGTACCAGTAATCTTAAATTAGCATAATTTGGGTTCAGGCAAACACAAAGTCTGTACACTGATTTTTCAACAGCTTTAATCACATGGTTTATTATACGAAAGAGATATCAAAGTGAAAATGAAAGTGCATACTTTCAGAATAGAGAGAGAGGTCATTATAAGAAAAATTTACTTGAATTGTGATGAGCACGACAAGAACATGAGAAAGGGGGAGCAAGAAATTTTTCCAAAAATTGGGACATGCAAAGGACATGGAGAGAGATAACTTTTCCAAAATTATGACAACCAGTGAAGAGAGCAAATAGAGAAGACAGAGAAAAAGAGGTCATAGTAAGAACAATTTTCTCCAGTTACACAACCATGTCAAAAAACATAATCACTGAAAAAAAATAAAAAGCGAAGAAAATAATAATAAGAAAGAAAGAAAAAAATAATTTACCTGATCATACAAGACCGCTGAATCAGTAAACGCTTGAATCCTTCTTATCCCAATCTTAAGTGAAGCGGAGAGCCCATCCATCAAAGCAAGAAGCTCTGCAACGCTCTCCTCCACAAAAAAATCGAGCTTTTTCTGAATTTTCATTTCTGAATCATCGATTGAATTCTTCAAGATCACCCCAATTCCCGAAAGGCTTGATCCAACCTCTTTCAAATCTGATACGCCTTTGAAAAATAGCTTAGAGAAATGATCAGAAGCCTCATCTTCTTTGAAGTCCTCTGCATCCCTCCACTCTTCTTCCTCGGCAACACAGCTTCGGTATTCATCTTCCTCATCTATTCTCTCTCTACCTTCGCTATAGAATTTCAACGAAAACCCATTATTTCTTTCACCAAAAGACTCCATTTTTGAAACCCAATATGAAAAAGTTACAGAAAACTTATTGGTTGAGGAAGATCATGGCCTCTCTTTCACAAAAGAAGAGGTGCGATTTCCCTCTCCGTGTAGAGAGAGAAGAAGAAGAGAGACCCAACGAGATAGCTAATGGAATAAGCTTCTGGTTCATGTTATGGTCCTAATCCGTTTAGAAAGAGAACAGAAATGGACAATGAAGGGTGATAAACCCTAACTTCTAGAAAACGCTAACCAGGAATCCAGGATGGCAGTTCCTTAATGCTGCCTATGCTCAATGAGAAAGTGAAAGGTGGGTTGTCACCCTCTCTCTCTAAAGTGAAGGAGGGTTCAATCTCCTTCTTTCTCTCTCTAAAGAGGGTAGGTTCAATTTCCCTCCCTCTAAAAAGTGGGTTCTTTCACATTTTATTTTGGAAAGTATCAGGAAATAAATACATAAATTACAAATTCAGCTCCCCTCTTTCTCTCTCTCTATGTTAATATGCAACTTTTTTTAGAAAGTATCAGCCAAATAAATTATAAATTCAGCTCTTCACATTACAATCTCTCTCTTGCCCAAGTTCTCTAGGTATATGCCAGCCATAAAATTTCCAGAAAGAGGAGAACTCTCTCTCTAAATTACAAAACTGTCTCTTTCTGTAGTGTGAAAGAGAACTCTCTCTCTGTAGTGTGAAAGAGAACTCTCTCTCTGTAGTGTGAAAGAGAACTCTCTCTCTCTCTAAATTACAAACTCTCTCTCTGTGGTGTGAAAGATAACTCTCTCTCTCTATGTAATGTCCAATTTCTCTTGGTAAATATCAGCCATGAAATTCACAAAAAGAGAGTTCTCTCTCTCTCTCTCTCTGAGGTTCAAATTCTCCTAGGTCACTTTCAATGGTTGGGTCTCTCTCTCTCTCTCTCTGAGGTTCAAATTCTCCTAGGTCACTTTCAATGGTTGGGTGAGGTAGATGACTCTTTGTACCAAAAGGAAAAGGCAGGATTTCAGGATCTCTCCTCTCACCCCTAACATGAACAATATTTTTGGCAAGTTTCAGCCATGTAAAATGACAAAT